TAGTTTTTTTGATCACACCGATAGCAATATTCTCTTGAATTCAGGAATATGGGAATCTAAATAATCTCTTTGAGCCTAGAACAAAAATTCATATATTTTATTTTTAAGTTTATATACCGTATGATCGAATAAAAACGGCGTCAACGATGGCTATGCTAACGAAGATCGCTGTCATTTTATATGTAAAATTAAATGGGAAATGTCATCGATCGTCATTTCCAAGCCAACTGGACGCCGTTTTTTTTCGATCATACGGTATTTAAATGAAGTAACCTATTGGTATTGATATGAAACAGTAGCTACCACGTTTGTGCTGTGTTTAGAAAAACTGTAGTGGCAGCGATTTCGAAGCCCTATCATGCCGTTTTTTTTTTTGTTGGCGTAGAACCAGGTCTAACATGGTAAGTTTTGTCAAGAATATCACAGGGTATATGAAATCGAGTTTTACGACATTTTTTCGTGGTCGAGGCATTTTTTATCTTCAAAAAACTGAAAAAAAAAACATTTATTTGTGAATCATGTTTCTCAACGTCTCCTGTGTCATATTTCGGGAAATAAAAGTGCTATCGGGCCGTTCTTTTTTTTAAATTAAAGTAAAAACCATAGCGCTTTTATCAGTATACGTGGTTTATACGCAATTCGCTTTTTTATTGTTTTAAACATCAGAAAAACCAAAAAAAAAATAATTTTATGTATTACAATTTTTAGCGATGGGAACTATCGAATGAATTAGACTATCGAATGGTTACTGAATGAATGATTTCAACTATCGAATGGTTTTATTCGAATAAAATCATTCATTCATTTGTATACTAAAGCATATGTGACAACCTCGCCGTGCAACTAAATGGTTATCGTTGAGCCACAACTATCGAATGCTTTTGATAAATGAAATTTAGTATTCGTTTTTTTTTTGATTTTTGTGTACGTCAGTGCATTATTAGTTCTTCCAAATTTTTATAACTTCACCTTATAAATACTGTGCTATTTTTGCGTTTATTAAAATATTTAAAAATACTAAAATAGTAGTTTTTTTTTTAATTGACGATTGTGTGCGTGTGCAGGTGTCAAAATTTTTTCAAAAATTTGTATGATTTTCCGTAGCCCGATCTTTCAATTATTTTATTTTATATGGTATATATGGTCTATTTTTTAATGGGAAATTTTTGAGAAGTAGCAATTTTTAAGAGAGATGAGATGAACTTAGAATTAATTTTAAAAAATACATATTTGTATTTTAGATGTTTTAATAATATGAATTAGTTGAACTTAATAATCATATTTAAGTAATGTGGTTAAGTAAATGGTTATCGAACTCAAACTATGGGTGTGAAAATTAAATTGAAAGTTTTACACGTGCCAATTTAAAAAAAGAAGTTAACGATGTTTGTATTTTGTTTATGCTAATTCTCTTACATGTAGTTTTTTGCGAAGAAATATTTCATTTATTTTTTAAAGTAAATGCCAGTAAAAGTAAATATTATTTTTAAATAGTAGTATAAAGTACCTAATATAAATAATTTTGATTTCTAATTTTTTATTTATATTTTCCTTCCATTACACTGCATGCTTAGAAAATTAATAAATGTTTATATTTCATGATTTTAAAAAGTTTGTTGTTAATATAACAAAATTAGTTCTGTAATTATTATTATTTAATAAACCAATGTTGCCAAAAAATTTAAAGACTATATTATTTTTAAATAGGATCTAATATAAATAATTTTGACATCTAATTTGTTGTTTATATTTTGCTACTATGTAAAAAAATGTTTATATTAAATTATTTTAAATTTTGTTGTTAATAGGTATAACAAATTATTATTTTAATATAAACCAGTCTTTGCTTAAAAATATTAAAAATCATTTTCCTACATCAAAAATAACAAGTATTATTGCAGTGTAACAACAGAATATTAATAAAAAAATGCAAAATATATAGACATACTATCCCTAACTAACTAAAGCCAAACAATAATATTCTTTGCTAATATCAACTAATTCCAATATATGGCAACAGCGCCCTTCATAATGTATTTTCTGTGGTAAATACTAGCACCTCATATAAAAAAATAATGTGTCCCTTATCTTTATATGACTCCGCAAAAATCAAAGATGCCGGCTTCTTTCATAGCATTGCCACCGACCGCTGTCGGGTTTCTCGGAAAGAAACCTACGTCGTCGGGCGACAACTAAAATCCAGTTAATATTTTATTATAATCGATCCTGACGAATAAATGAATTTCATAAATGAATGAATTTAATAAATGAATGGTTTTTGCTGCCGAATTACTAGAATACGATATTTCAAGGCAGATGACGCATCTATTCGATAATTTTTATTCGAATAGTTTTCAACGAATGTTTTTTACTAGCTATCGAATTATTCGAATGAATTGCAACTATCGAATGTTTCGATAGAATTCATTCGATAGTTCCCACTACTAACAATTTTCACCAATCGAGAAACTTTTTTATTTTTAACTTTTTTTATGTACATCCAGCGAAGCAAATGAAGCCAAAACATTACAAAAGTTTTTGGTAATATTACTTTTTTCCTAATATGTATCGTTTGGTATCAGCGATTTTTTTATTAAGCAAGTCGGAGCGCAACGTATCGCCGCGCCGTCCGTCGCGTCGCCTCTTCGCGGGGCTCCTATAGCAGATAGCAGCGTATATGCAGGATAGAGGAGCTGAACTATTTAGTTGTCGTTTTAAAGATTCCCAGATTTTATGTGTTTTTTTTGAGGTGGTACTAATTATCGGTAATTAAAAATTGACAGATACACACGTTTGACATGACTTTCCATGTCCAAGTTCTTTTTGCTCGTAACAATACGTATGTTCCAGTATCCGATTTTTTTATTTTTTAATACAAGGGCTGCGATGCTGTAAACGAATAAAATATTCCTTTGCAGTTTCTTAAAGGTTCTACTAATAATCTATATAACATGTATATACATACCCAAGTAGCATTTTCACGACTTGCGACCACATGTTTACTAAACACAACGTTGGATTAGTTACAAAAAATAGTTAGCTCCCTACCTTGGGTATTAAAATAAATTTAAACGTTTTTATAACGTTGTGCCGACGTTGGACTAGTACAACACCAAAGTAGAAGCTTCTGCGACGTCGAATAAACGTTGTCTTGTAACCTTTTATGCTTAAGTGATCTTTAGGTGATTCGGAGAACGTAGTTACAACGTTGAACAATATAGAGTTTACCGACGTCAGTTTCAGGACCTATTCCAACGTTATGCAAACGTCGTCTGTTTTACTAATTCCAACGTTGTTTAGATTTCCTTATTCTTACGTTGGTAGTGGACGTCGAGTCACTACCTTTTGCAACTGTATTGAACCATAACCTTAAATCTTAAATTTTCACTTCATTGTTCTGTTCAGTCAGACAGTTCAGTGCTGTTTTTGTTGTTATAAAAAAAACTTAATTAAAATGGGACATAAGAAAGGTACATATAAAACTAAATTTAAATATACATCGACATATATTACCGATGTTTATCCACTCCCTCGTTTATTTAGATTATAGAGGGCGGCACAAGCTAGATTCTAGGATGACTATATTAGGCAATCTTGCGACTAGTATACTACCTGTTAAGGCCGAACTGCGACTTTATTAGTCCAGTAAGCGACTACTCGAACTACTCCATCTTAATCTCCAAAACAACAAAGTGAAAGCCGCCATGTTGTTAAATAAGAAAATGTTTCGTTCCTAAAATAGCAATTCCTGCTTTTTGAATACATTAACTTGAAATATTTGACCCTAAAAAACACGCGGAAACAATTTTTTCGACTGCGAATAAATTATTCTCATTTTACTAAAAAAAAATTCAAGAAAATTTTTAAAATTTCTTTAATTTTAAGGCCCATTACTTTTGGCCCATACTTTTGTTTTGTTTTCCTTCACTGCCATCTGACACATGTCTCTAACTAAATCATAAAAATAATATTTTTACTATAATTATCCCAATTTAGGATAAAACGCGACTTAGACGCCATATTAGTTTTGTATTTCTGTGAATTAGGATTTTAAACAACGTTGCAGTTTGTACTAAATTAGGCTTCTAGCCAACGTCGGTATCCAACGTCGTTTCGACCCAAAAATTATTCTCCAAACTAGTGCAGACTAGGGTTGGCAGGAGGTTGTGCCGACGTTGCGCCCCGACGTTTGGTCGCGTGACAGAACGTTGTCCCGACGTCCAAATGCTGCTTGGGGTAAAATCAAATGTATTAAAAAGAGATAAAAGTTGGGTGGATACATTTCTTCAATGCAGTATTGCCGGATTTTGCATGAAAATCTCAAACTGCACAATTAGGTGTTTCTGAAAAATGTTGCATCTAGGGTTGTTAACTTGATTTCTCACAATTAATTACTAATTTTTCTACAGCTGCATTTTCAGCAGTATACATAAAGTTTTTTTTCTACACACTTTTTCCTACAAACGTAAATACCGGCAACACTGTATGCTCCTTTTTATATTGTCTCTCTGTCTGTCAACCGGTTATTAATTGTTGCCAACCATGGAGATATTCGGCGCCGTGCTGACTAACTGGAATTTAAATTTCGCGCTGGGGATGCAGGTGGTAGCTCTGCTTTATTGATTTATTTCCTGACATTGTCATTCATTTTGGCGCTTTAGCTTTGTATTACGAGTTTTTGGTTTATATAAGTAGTGTCATGATACTTTAAGCTTAAAAATGTTTACTAGCAGACCTTGCAGTCGAACATTGTTCTTTTTAGAACCTCTTTTAGTGCAAAGTGTACAAGATAGCTTAATATAACCGTAAAAAACTCATCGCAACTTTATTAGAATATTTTGAACGGGAAAGCGGTAGTATTGGCTCTTTATGTCCCTTAAGTGCAGTTAAGAAGGTGCGAGTTTTGTTGATGTAAATAATAATTGTTTATATATATTCATAATTATTTTTTTTTGTTTCCTAAAATATTTTGATTAAAAGAAAATATATAAAACTGGCAACAAGCTTAATCACGTGACTAAAAGTTTATTTGGTATGAACTGTAGTATATATGAAAGTCTCAAGGCTCTTGGAACAAGAATTTTGCCGCTGATTCAAGAAAATATTTTTATCCGTGCAGCACCAAATGTATCACTTTGATAATACTCTAATTCTCTCACAAGTTTATATAAACATTATATACAACTTATTCCATTTCAGCAACAGCATAATAACTGCCAGAAACTAAACCGAATATCGCAATAAACATAATTAGGATATCTTTTACAAGCCTCCATTGGTACTTTCCCCAGCCTTCATCCCAATCAACTATAATTTCAATAAAGGCCGGCACAAATAGTCCTAAAGTAGAGAAGAACACTGCTCCAACAAGATCAATTAGTGTACCCAAGTGTTCTCCACCAGCAGCAGCTATACCTGTAACGATGAAAAGAAAATATATCATTAATTTTTTTATTTAATGTAGTTTTAAAATTACACTATTTTTTTATTAGCTATATGATTGATATAAAATTTGAATAAAAAGATTAAGGAATATTTGCACTAATTTAAGGCTCACCTTGTATAATATACATACGTGTACTAAACCGATCATTTATGAAATTCACTTAAAATTAACTTAAAAAATAAATCAAGATTATTTTTTTCCCAAAATTTATTTGATGATCTAAAGTAATCGCAAAACAATTTTCAATGCACGTGATCAACTTTGTGTGACAAGCGATAGCGACAGCGCTGCCAAACTGTGATGGATTTATGAGATAAATCTTAACGTAAAATTGGAAAATTCACTCGCTACAAATCGAAATAAGTAGAAATAACTTTTAAAGTGGTATAATGTGCTTACCAATCAAATTTATTTCCCTGACAGCAGTCAAGTGTAATAAAAGACCTTTATTGTTACATTTTCGTTCACACCCAAGTAGCATTTTCACGACTTGCGACCACATGTTTACTAAACACAACGTTGGATTAGTTACAAAAAATAGTTAGCTCCCTACCTTGGGTAGTAAAATAAATTTAAACGTTTTTATAACGTTGTGCCGACGTTGGACTAGTACTACAGCAAGGTAGAAGCTTCTGCGACGTCGAATAAACGTTGTCTTGTAACCTTTTTGCTTAAGTGATCTTTAGGTGATTCGGACAACGTAGTTACAACGTTGGACAATATAAGAGTTTTCCGACTTGACGTCAGTTTCAGGACCTATTCCAACGTTATGCAAACGTCATCTGTTTTACTAATTCCAACGTTGTTTAGATTTCCTTATTCTTACGTTGGTAGGACGTCGAATCACTACCTTTTTGCAACTGTGTTGAACCATAACCTTAAATCTTAAATTTTCACTTCATTGTTCTGTTCAGTCAGACAGTTCAGTGCTGTTTTTGTTTTATAAAAAACTTAATTAAAATGGGACATAAGAAAGGTACATATAAAACTAGAATTTAAATATACATCGACATATATTACCGATAGTTTATCCACTCCCTCGTTTATTTAGATTATAGAGGGGGCGGCACAAGTTAGACTGTTGGATGACTAAATTAGGCAATCTTGCGACTAGTATATTACCTGTTAAGGCCGAACTGCGACTTTATTAGTCCAGTATGCGACTACTCGAACTACTCCATCTTAATCTCCAAAACAACAAAGTGAAAGCCGCCATGTTGTTAAAATAGAAAATGTTTCGTTCCTAAAATAGCAATTCCTGCTTTTTGAATACATTAACTTGAAAATATTTGACCCTAAAAACACGCGGAAACAATTTTTTCGACTGCGAATAAATTATTCTCATTTACTAAAAAAAAAAAATTCAAGAAAATTTTTTAAAAACTCTTTAATTTTAAGGCCCATTAGTATTTTTCAAAGTAGAAACAATACATTTATCAATAAAGTTGCTTGCGTTTAACTTTTTTGCCTTGGGTAACGAGTTACAGAGTCGGTTAAAGTGTTTCAATAATTATGATCTTCAAAACATCCTCCACACTTAAATACTTTTGTTTTGTTTTCCTTCACTGCCATCTGACATACGTCTCTAACTAAATCATAAAAATAATATTTTTACTATAATTATCCCAATTTAGGATAAACGCGACTTAGACGCCATATTAGTTTTAAACGTTGCAGTTTGTACTAAATTAGGCTTCTAGCCAACGTCGGTATCCAACGTCGTTTCGACCCAAAAATTATTCTCCAAACTAGTGCAGACTAGGGTTGGCACGAGGTTGTGCCGACGTTGCGCCCCGACGTTTGGTCGCGTGACACAACGTTGTCCCGACGTTCAAATGCTGCTTGGGAAATAGTTATCAGGAAAGCTACAAGCTCTTTACTTTGACTGTTTAAATGCTTCAGTATATATTCAACGCACAATTTCAAGAAATGCAATACAAAAACTCGAAGATTTAGTACTTAAAAGAACTGTCGGTGCTTAAAAGTACAATTTTTTTAAAAATATATGAAAATAGGCAAAAAAACGAGAATTGCTCACAAAGATTCAACAACAACACGATATTATACAAAATAATGACTAACATTATGATAATTGTCATTTAATAAGACAATATGACCAACATGACGGTAAAAAAATCGTTTTAAACTATTTTTTGCAGCTTTAATCTAAATAAAATATCTGTTGCAATCATTTTCTCTATAAAGTAAGATGAAGAGCTGCTCGGATCTTAAATTATACAACAAATTTAAACATTTTTGCCAAAATTTCATTTAGTCAGGTTTATAGGTTTTAGTGTCAATTTCGATATGATTAATGATTAATGACGTGCATCGGAAAATGTTTTGCGATTACCGTATGTAAAATTTAAGAATCACTTGAATAAGTTTTGGATTTACCTGTAACGAAAATAACCAAAACAGTCCTTAAAAGAATTTGTGATATATTATGTCTATTTTCAGGTATCCTGTCTTTGATTCTGGTCCACGTTATCTCCATAGGCACGTAAAACTGAAGCATAAATGTGAAGAATACCGCCACTGAAATACTGGCTTGGACAATTTGGGCAGGTCTAAAACAAAAAAAAACTTATTATACAGCTAGTAATAATAGTGAGGTAAAATACTCCTGAGCTTCCTTTCCACAAAACTTTTTAAAACTCTGCAAATTGGCAAAACGATTAAAATGGCGACCAGAACGTTATCGAATAGGCGCGTAAAACACGACTTAGCCCGTTTTTGCTCGGTACCGCATGGACTTGTCACGTTATTCCCCTGTACGGGATATTTTTCTTGTTTAATATCTTCTGACTTATCGCGTTCTTGCCATGGAAGCTATCTTTAGAACAAAATTTAACATATTTTCTATCAGATGACATCAATATCTCAATTTCGCTAAAAATTGACTTAGCCCGTTTTCCCCTGTACCCTTCATATGGGTTATCACTGTAATATTTTTTAAGAAAAGCATGTACGCCACTGACTTTTTTTCTCTTGTTAGCGAAATAGTGAAGCAAAATTATTATATTAGTCTCTTGAGATTTTGTTAATTTCGGCCTCCGTGATGAGATGTCTTGATCCAAGTCTAATAGCATCCTATAAAAAATGTTAATATCATTAACTTGCGAAAGTTTTAAATAAGTACCCATTGATTCCCCCTCAAAAAAAAAAGAAAAAAAGTTTCTATAAACATGGGCATGGAAATGCATAGTTTTAGAGTTACAGGATGTTAACATTTTTCAAAATTAGGTCTGTTCTAATTCTTTTAAATACCATTATTTTTTATTTGAAATTGCTATAGCTTCAACTAATACTTGTGCTAATACTGATAGTAATAATATTTAATAATAAATTGTATTAATTAATAGGTATATATTATATTTTAATTTTATTAAAATTGTGATTAATAAAATAGCGTTTATCTCATCAAGGAGGCCGAATTCGACAAAATATCCATAGATAACTTTTAATTCGCATTAAACGGCGTACACAATTTTGATATCAAAATAAAAAAAGTCAGTGGCACACTTTTTTTTTGAAAAATATTCCAGTGATAAATACGAACGTCCCGGGTGAAAATGGTACACTTTTTTAGCTTTAAAATATGTCGCATTTATAGTAACTTTTACCCTCGAAATTTCATTAGAAACGCTAAAAGTACTTAAAAAAAATTATAATAAATCGAAAAAATATTAAGACTTATTAACACCCTCTAGCTACAAAAAAAGCATCAGATTCGGACATATTTTATGTTGATATAAAAAATAAATCTTATTTTTACGTGAGGAATCTCCAAACGAAGATGGCACATGTTTTTTGAAACAACCTGTATAATGTTCTATCGGTTGTTTAATCTTTCCATAATTAGTGTTAATTTTTGATAAGTCAATTTTTAGAGTAAATAACGTCTAGAGATTGTTCTCGTCAAAATTATCATCGTCTTTGACGCCGTTTTTTTTTTCGATCATACGGTATTATTTGTCATCGCGATAAGATATTTGATGTAAAAAGCTAATATTTTCAGGTATGACACGTATAAATGTATAATGCCTGATTAATACTGAAAAATTGTTTATAATTCGGATATGTGTTTATTGTCATTAACCATGTTTTACCTAGGTTAAATTATTATGTAGGTATATAATTATTATAATTTGAATAAAACAGATTCCAGTTTAGTTGAGCATTGAAATGAAATCGAACTTGACTTCATGAATATTAAAATACTTCATGAAGTAATATATATTCATGTCTCATAGGTTAATTGATGGCACATATTTCCATGTTTAGTACACAGGTAATTTGCAAATAAGCTATTTTTATGGTTCTGTTATGGATTATATTTTATAATGAAGTCTAATTCACTAGATAAATAGATATTTTATTAAGTTATCTATTACTAATAAGACTCATTTTTAGAAATTTCAGACTTTTGATCCCTTTATTCCTAAAAGAGCACAAGCTCTACGTAGTAGAGCTCTAAGTTGGGTTAAATATTAGCCTTTTGGGTTAAAAATGGCGCCTTAAAAAGCATATTCTACATAATTTTTTTATTTGGACCCCCCTAAAATAAAATCCTGTATCCGCCCCTGTTGCCCGAGACATCTATACAGAGGTTACCCTAGATTTTTTATTATTATATATATTTTTAATGAAAAAATACAATACTTTTCTACGCACTTTTTTAAACTAAACAAAAATATAAGTTAGTTAAAATAGATTTAAAAAAATGAGTTTTCATATGTTCCACCATTTCAAAAAATTCTAAAAAATTCCTGAGTGTATAGGAGTATAAAAAAGACATTTTCTGACGATTTTAAGTGAGTGACATATTTCAGAAAGGTTAAAAAATGAAGATTTTAATTTTCTTTCCTCCGCTAAAAATGGGATTTTCGTTTAAGACTCATGATCATATTATTTTTTCATAATATCTTAGACTTCTAAGTATTAGAAAAAAAAACATTATTAATTACTTTGAATTTTACTATAAAAATAAAAATAAAATTGAAAAAAAAATTTTTTTTTTGAAAGTCTCGAAAACCGTTTCAGTTAAAGTGCTAAAAATTTAGGTGAATTATTTTGATTCGACACCAAATCAATCCCCTGAGTGCGAGTTAAAAAAGCCGCGGGGGCAGATTTCCTAGATTAATCCGGCTATACCCTTTTCTACAAATTGTACCGCTAACATATTCCAAAAAATAAAAATCGGTAGAAAATATGATCTTTTCAGTAGATCGGTAGATGAACTGCCAAATCGGTAGATCTACCGAAAAATCGGTAGAAGTGGCATCACCGCACGGCCGGCCAATTACAGGACAGAGAGAAATATACTAACATTTCATTGGATGGGAGATTGCCTGTTATAGTTGCACTAGTTTCTTCACCAAACTTATAATATCCAAAGAACCCGATGCAAGTGTACAATGATACCACCACTATCATTGCCGAATTTAGTACTCCATTGCATCCCAGAAACCTCGGCTTTTTCATTGAATTCTCGACAGGCATTATGGTACCAATCCCTTCCATCGCAAATAATACCGTACTGAAGAATGATGGTATACCTAAAATTAAACAATTATTTACCTATTATTATTATTATTTATTTTTATTTTAATTTTTTTTATATTTTGTTTTATTTGTTTTATTAATTTTTATTTTATTTTTTTATTAATTTTTTTTATTTTTATTTTATTTTTTTATTAATTTTTTTATTTTATTATTTTTTTTATTTACCTTCCCAATTCGTATAAAGATTTCTATCGGATAATTTTACCGATGACATGTTCGAAAAAATATAGTACAATGTTATACTAAAAGCGACAACCATCATACTGTTAGCTATGAATGAAAATGGTACCATGTGCTTCAGTTCCCTGATTTGGCAGCACAAGATTAAAGGAACTAGAATCATCAACTTGAAGTACTGATCCCATGATGCCGTGTCGGGATAGTAGTATGAAAATAACTGAAAAAATTTAAAAATAATTAATCTTTTTAATAAAACTAAACGTTAGGTTTCACGTCATCCGTTTTCAAATACAAATATAAAAAATAAAAATGCAAAAGATAAATATGTATTAATGTGTATCAGTAATCTCTCTCAGATAAACTTACTACCTACTTTTGTCATTGACACAGAAATGAAGACGATGTATACAGCGTTTCCACAATAATAGGTCAATACCAATGCAATTTCAACAAAATTTCTGAAACAAAAAAAAATAAACTTTAAATTCTGAATCAATTCAAATTTACGACTATATTTTTCTAATATTTATAATTAAAGTTAAAACATACGTACAAAATTACTTATAATCTATTATAGAAATATATTTATATTTATATTATACAGGGTGTCCCAGAAAAAAGTGCAAATATTTTACCTAGTAGTATAGTTCGACACCAGAAACACGCCAATGTTGAAAATTTTATATTTTTCTTGACATTTTCCGAAAAATATTTAAAAACTTTTGAGTGTCGCTTGGTCCTTTTCCGGAAATTTGTTTATAGTGCTTCTTTCTAGTCGACGTGGCAACCCTTGGAGTCGAACAAGCTGGGATCCGGTTTGGTATTAAGGGTATTTGGGATAGATTATCAACGATGCCGGCGGCTCTCAAAATGTTGCCATTATTTCTTTTAAATTTTTAAAGTTAAATAACTCGGTTATTTTTAATTAATTTTAAAATGATAAAGAGAAAATATGTGTCTTTTGGCCAGATCTACCAGCCTTTAATATACTTTCATTTTTTTTCTGGGACATCCTGTATATTTTTCATCCTTCTTTATACGAGTAATCGGCAATAAAATCAATAAGTTATACATTACAAACACCTACTCAATTTGTGTGTTAATGCAAAAGCTTTTCCAAGTACTATTATATAGTTGGCAATAGTTACTCGCTTACAATACATACTTCTGAAGGATTATTAAAGTACCGGGGCTAATATTTTATTCAAGGATTTTAATTTATGTTTGACGCACATGTATTTTATTACATCATTGTAATACTAGCATAAAACCATTGTTTCAAATATAACTATAATAAAACAAAGCTGGACTTTTTAATGTAAATTGGAGAGACTTTTAAAAATATAGTCAAACAAACGCTAAAAAATAAAAATAATACAGCCTTAATTAAATGTAAAGCTCTAAAATAAAAAGGCAGTGTCGTACATACTTTTTTATAAAAATATTCCAGTAATAACACATATGCACGTCCCTGGTGAATATGTCGACACTTTTTTAGCATTAAAATATATCGCACTTATAGAAACCTAACCTAACCCTCAAAATTTCATTCGAATCGCTAAAGTACTTGGAAGAAAATTATAATAAATCGAAAAAGAATTAAGAGTTTAACACCCCATAACTACGAAACAAAGCAGAATCAGACCTACGTTGATATAAAAAAATAGAGGTATATATTTTCGTGAGGAATCTCCCCACGAGAGATGGCACATGTTTTTTGAATAACCCTGTTGTAGCGTTTATTAAACAACTACCACTGCGAACGGCAGCTTTTCATCGGAGAGCAGTCGTGGATAAGGTATTTCACTGGAAAGAAAACTAATTAAGAACAATAAACAAAAAAATAGATATTGGGCGCCAGGCATGTACAGAGAAAGAATACACAGTTGTATAATACTTAAAACTAATGACTATATTTATTCATGATGAATTCTGATGGTAAATGGCATTGTACAATTTTAATAATTATTATAGTGGTTATTTGTTGAGTAAAACTATGTATGTAAATAATATTAAATATGTTCTATGAAAAGACTATGAAAAAATACAATGCGTGTAACGTTATAGAAAATATAAGAAAAGTAGCATTACTTTATTTAAATTGTTAAATTTTATGCGGTGTTAAATCTGATGTGTTGCAACCTGTAGATTCTAGAATCTATGTCTCGTTATTCCATCTGTTAATATAGCTCAATAATAATATCTATAGAAAGTAATACTATTACAAGACGTAATGCAATGAAACCTAAGATCTAAATTATATTTTAAAGATTATATCGACATGAATGTTCTTAACAATCTAACCACTGAACATAGTCTGTACGATATTACTTAAGATGTACGTTATTGTTTAAGACTGAATATGTTTTAGATGTTAAATGTAAAACTAGAACTTAAATATACACTTAGCTGTTCTTTTATGTAACCTTGCTTCAAACAGTAGCAGCGTGAGGTGGTCGAGCATCTCTGTACTGTCTGTCGGCCATCCTGTTGGCCAAAACAACAAAAGGGGCCAGATTGAGGACACCGTGAATCACTACAGCCGTAGCTACTGACTAGGCTTAGAAATGGGAGTGAAACAGCATGGGACTGAAGCTACATCCACGCTGTGGCACTTAGATGTAAGAAAAAATCGTTCTTACTGGGGACACTCGTCCACAGGACATCTGTACATAAGAGAATGTCTGTACATAAGGCACTACCCGTACCTTGGACACAGTCCGTACCTTGGACACAGTCCGTACCTTGGACACAGTCCGTACCTTGGACACAGTCCGTATCTTGGAAATAGTCCGTACCTTGGACACAGTCCGTATCTTGGACACAGTCCGTACTTGGACACAGTCCGTACCTTGGACATAGTCCGTACCTTGGACCCTAAAAATATGAAACTCTTGTTTAAAACCAAACAAGGTCCAATAAACAAAATAAACCCACCTCGAAATACTTCCGAGGGCTCAATAAACAATAAACAACATGTCCTTTCTTCCATTTGACGTTCTGGAGGACAAAAGAAAAGGGACGCCAACGTGCCAGCAAAACACAAATACAAGTTAGGACATCCGTAACTCTACCCTAAAAATATTCAATAATAATATCGAATCTATAAAAGGTAATAACTCTCTTTACCTGTAGCCTCGAAATAGCAGCTGATTCAAACTATACAGCAAGATTTAAATAATCACCATTTCTAAAAGCTGGGATACAACAGAGAGAGCAAAACAAAGTGAGGTTAAGCACGGAGACAGTTGACAGAAGCGATGTTGACAGCGCGCGCCTCCACAGAATAGTAACAGGGTTGTGTCGAACGATAACAGGGTTGGCGACTAGGGAACGTAAAAATTACGCGTCAAATAAACTATCCGGCCTGAACGAGAAGGAATCCGGTGATGATAGGCCAGAGATCATATATTATATATAAAAAAGACATGTAACGAACTAAAAACGTTACACTGTATAAGTTTATGAATTATAAATAAACCTGTATTAATTCTTTACTATACTAGGCTTACAGGAATTATAAACTCAAAATGTCCAATGACTTGTAAATATTTGCCATAATGGGTAGTGTTTTTTGACCTTAAATAATGGCTAGAATACTTGCACTGTGTTTGAATAATTCAACAGCAACCTTTAAATGTCCAGTCAATGAGCGTAGTATCCTCGATTACAACATGAACATTTCAAATTGCTTGTATCAGTAGATACTTGACTGCAACTTATGTGGATTGTAATTTTTTTGACGTATTTTTTAATGCTAAAATGCATACATATACAGGGTGTTCCAGGCTGAGCGTGCATTAGAAGTTTCTAGAGAACTACAATATCTAGATCGGAGATTTTTTGCACAGAATTGTTTTACAACGAGATCTATCGATTACAAATATTTTCAATATGGCTGCACTTCCGGAACTACCGGAAGTTGACAGCAACTTTCTTATTTTGAATGGGTGTCCCCATTTTTTATTACATACTTAAATTCTCCGTAAAATTTTATGAATTTTGATTTTAAACACGTTATCCGTTTTTTGAGAAAAAAAAATATTTAAAATTTTTGGACGAAAAAAATTGCCTGTCAAAAATATGTGTATAGCCTAAACGTCAAAATTAGTGATTACCACAGCCACTGTATCATAAAAAGAAAACATGTCACTATCTATTTCAAAAATTAAATTGTCCGAATGTCATATAATAATGGCCATAGCTGTCATGTAATTGAACGATTAAAAAATTATCATAAATCATTTTTTTCAAATGCAAAAAGCTTTTAAATTCGTGACTCTTTTTGGCTATACATATTCCTATACCTAAAATAAATCGTTTTTAAGTTATCAGTTATTTCAGATTTAGTTTTAAAGCGTATATTTTTCTTGATTTTAATAGTAGCCTATGACTTTAAACGTCAAGTGTTGTAAAACAATAGATCTACTAATAAACTATAAATTCTCTAGAAACTTCTAGGGCATATGTTTATAGGGATATTTTCTTTTATTTTTATCGTTTCGGTATACTATTGTTTTGACACCCTGTATGTATCTACATTTTATTTTTATATTAAAAAATCATCTTTATATGTATATCTAAAAGTACTAATTACTAACATCACAAGATTTTCTATAATTATTAAGCTTCGTTGAAAAAATTATTATCATTTAAAAAGTTATTTTTTTTTAATTATATAGGTATTCTGTAACCTTTTGTATAATGCTTATTTACAACAAAAGAATTTTACATCCGTATTCGTCAATGTTGAAAAGTTTATATTTTTGTTATACAGGGTGAGTCTTAAGTAAGTGCAAATATTTCTAGGGCAGTATACTTAGACCCCTGAAACACGACTATGATTTTTTGTTTCGCGAAAAAAAAATTTGACGATCAGGGATTTTTTTTTAGTTTTTAGTTAAAAACACAATTTCTTGATAATATGGCTATACATATACAGGGTGTCCTAGAAATAAGTGCAAATATATTAACTGGTAGTATAGTTCAACTCCAGAAACACGCCTATGAGTTTTTTTCGCGAAAAAAAATTAAAAATTCGAAATTTTTTGAAATTTTTTGTGGATTTTTTTTTAGTTTTTAGTTAAAAACCATAATTTTTTGATAATATGGTATTAGATTAAATTTACAAGTAAGAAAATCCAGAAAAGATTCAGTGGTTCTCAAAATTTTAGCAAAAAATACGTACAATAACTCCACTCCAAAGTACAATAACTCCATTATTTTGGACTTATTGGAAAAACGATAAAGAGAAATTATATTTCTTTTATCGAAATCTACCACTCCTTAAAATACTTGCACTTATTTCTGGGACACCCTGTATAGGTAGTAGATTTAATTTACAAGAAAAACAAACAGAAAAGATCCAGTGGCTCTCAAAATTAAAAGCAAAAAATAATTTTTTTGAAAATTTTAAAATAAAATAACTGGGTTATTTTGGACTTTTTTGAAAAATGGT